AAAAAATTAATTTCTATTCATTCGACTTTCTTTAAAACGTTACGACATTGAATAGAACTGAACGAAATATTTTAAGCAAACTAGTATTAAGTAAACTTTTGTTATGTCTTAATGAATATTGGAAAATTCTCTATTATTTGCTTTAGTGAATTTAACTTAAACAGAGCAGTTTCCTTATTTTTTGCTGATGAGCTATTGTATTAGTGTAGCACTAAGTGAATGTTAATTTGACGTGTTTTAACTTATAAGCAGTTACACTGAAATGAATGTTACACTAACAAAATTTAGAGGTGTTGTAACCAAAACCAAGTTAACCCTTAGAATTAAGAAATTTGAACATAAGGAAAGAAAATCTAAAACATTTTTCTTTCAGTTTCAGTTAAAACTCAGTTCTGTAGCTTACCAAAGACAAAAGAATAATTTTTTTAAGGACTAAGTGCTTAGACACACGTCTGTATTAAAAGAGAGAAGAAATTTAAGAAAAATCATTTGAACTAACTATTGCTTAATGAAAGCAAATATACGCCTTTTGTATTGAAGAGGGGATTTTCCTACACATGCAGTAATGTACTTAATTATTATATAATTTTTCTTATTCGGTATAGTTTAGAATTTTACCTATTATCCAAAAAATTATATTAATAGTGCTTAATTAAGATCTCTTTCATTCTCTCTATATATACATACGCATCATGTGCAAAATTAAAAGAATTTGGAAATTATTTTTACAAAAGGTGTTGAACCAGAGGTACTAAATATGCCACCGAAGAATTATGGAAATATTCAGAGTAGATTACGTTAGCGTACACATGCATATTTGCCAAGGTGTGGTTATGGAGGGGAGATATAAGCGCACGAGGAGTTTCGGCTATTTGCGTAGAGCACGATTTCGGCACGTGGAAGTTTCGGTGATTCCTTTACCACATTCGCCTTGTTTATCGCAAGACTTGGGTAAATTTTATAAGGTATAAGATAAAATAAGTAGCCACAAAAGTATGGATGAATGAATGAGATAGGAAATTGTCATAAGTTGGAGGCAGCCCAATCACAAGCGCAGGCTGCTACAAAAGATAATTTATTGCTCAGTGTCGTCTGCAATTTGTCAAAACAGTTTCTGGACACTAGATTCATACGGAGAAAACCCAAAACAGATCGAGAAAGATCCACAACGATGAAGGGCCTACCGGCGGCCGAGCGGTAAAGTCGCTGAACACTGGTAGTTCGATCCGAGGTTCGAATCCCGCGAACGGGCTGGCTGAATGGGCGTTTTCGTGGTTTTTCCCATGTGTAACGTGTATACGAGCCAGTCTCCCTTAGAAAGTCCTCCACGAAAGCATCCCTTCTTTTAGGCAGATAGACCTCGTGTGCTTTGTCATAGCTCAACATGCACGACGAAGGAGGATCGTTATTTTGCATTTGGATCGTTTTTTAGAGCAGCGACACAGGAATGATACAGCTTCACAGCCATCACGTGATATGCATATTGCCATTGGAACCCAAGTTTTATTCCCTAGAGTTGCCCGAAAGTTTCATGAGAGAGGCTGTATGACAGAAGACAAACTTTTTGCCTCCCGTTCACTGCAATACATTAGACAGTGTGTTCAGCATAGTGCAGACAACATGCACCTCCGACTACAATTCAGTGGAGTACCGTGCTTATACAGATGAGTCGAGATTCAGTTGAATACTCACTCCCGGCAAACCTGTATCTGTAGAAAGCATAGAGCACAATACCATCCCTCCTTCATCAGGAAAAAATATCACTACAATGTTGGAAGTGTAACGGTTTAAGCAGGCAGTAATTTGGAAGGTCGCACACCCCTGCATGTGTTTGACAAAAGCTTTCTGAATGCTATGAGGTATAGAGAGGAGATTTTAGAGCTCTAATGTTCGACTTTTCAGTGGCCTTGAATTCATGTTAATAGACAAAAAAGCTCGGTCACTCAGTTTTCAGCTGGTTGATGATTACCTGGAAAGATAGATATTCGCCGCATGGATTGACCAACCTGACCGCTTGACCTATAAAGTATGTCTGAGACGCTCTTAGGAGGGTAATTCCATCTCGTCATCATCCTCCCAGAATCATCCCGGCGTTGAAAGCTGTCTTGCCGCAGCAGTGGGATCGACTCCCAGAGAGACTCCTCAACTGCTTCCTGTCCAGTATGCTATCATGTTGCACGATATGTCTATCTGTTAGAGGGTTTTCTAATAACATGATTTTTTTAAGATTTTTGAGTAAAAGTATTTATCAGGGTTATATTATTGGTTATTAAAAACTGATTTATTCATTCTAATAAATTTCCATTTTTTTAATATAGTGTAATATGTAATAGATTCTGGTATAGAACGCAAACATAGAAATTTGGCAATCAAAATATATTCAACTTTTCTTTCAGTAAACATGTTGCGGCCACAATCAAGTTCTTTTACACTTTACACAAACACATATAGGTTTACACTTACACAAAGTTTACATTTTAGATAAATTTGCAGTAAGAAAGAAGGATCAGACAGACTGCAGTCGAGCTAGGCCAACGCGTAGAAAGCAAGTGCGTTATATTCAGGATGAAATCTTAATTCAGACTGAGTTAGTTTTGGTTCTCAATGCATTCTGATTGGATAGTTAATACTGCTGTAAAATTACTATTGGCTATTTGAGTTTTAGTTCCATATACATCTTCAGAATTACGTAAGAATCATATGACCTAGATTAGTCTCAAAATCACACAATGCAAATAAGGGTATAAAATCACATAATGCAAATAAAGGTAATAAAGATATATAAATAAAGGTATAAAGGTATTATATAAATAAAGGTAAATAGGTGCAAATACAATATTTAGAACAGAGAATGGAAATTAATTTTCGTTGCTAATTTAATCTTTTACATATATATATGTAAAAGATTAATAATAAATTTATGTAATAAATTATTAATAAAGTAATAAAAAAATTATGAACTGAATTTAAATATATATTTATACTATATATATAACTGAATTTAAATATATATGTATACTATATATATATATATATATAATAATTTATTTCCTAAACAGTATTGATTAATTGATTATATTATCTCCTAAGTTTAATTAAAGTAGAATTATTTTAATTGGCCTTTATATCTTCATGTACATTCACTGATCTTATTTATATTATTTTTCTATATTATTTTTATATTATTTTTATATTTTCTTTGATTTGTTTTTACAAAGTTTGCATTATTTATCTTTTTTATAATCTTCTATGTTTATTTCAACTTTACTTTGAATTCGGTTTTATAATGACAATTTCCAATGTTTAATTTCTACAAATAATATAGCACTCAAATGCATAAGATGAAAGTGTCGGGGACGGTTACTCGAGTTTTACAGGATTTCTCTACAGCAATTGAATTTTACTCCAAATTGAATTGACTAAAATGCTTCATGAGAATAAGTTCTTTGAGTATCAGCATTGGTTCATAATTCCTACTATTCGCGGAAATATTTGGCCTGACTAGAATTGCCGGTTTGGCTTTTACTTATAACTCGAGTAAAGACGAAACACTTTCGTATTTACGTATTTTTATCAATTATTGTTCATTGAACGGGAGTTGGTTTGTTCCCCTTGAAAAGTCAACTAATTTCCGATCAATGACAATGATTACATGTTTTAATTTTTCCTTTTACAATTGAAATATTATTCTTCGTGATGATTTAACTCCAGTCCCCGTTAAAACATTATTAACATTTTGCTTTCAAATTACTTCAAAACATCTTTCAAAATATAACTTACCAGTATGGATACACACCTTTAAAATAATTCTACTTTAATTAAACTTAGGAGATAATATAATCAATTAAACAATACTGTTTAGGAAATAAATTATAATTAACTAACTTTGCAGCATTTCCTAGGAAGTGAAGAATAAAAATTATTGTAAATTAAATGTATTCATAATTCAATTAATTAACTTTAATGTTAATTCTGAAGCAGTTTTGGATAAAACTATTAACAACATATAATGGACTTAAAAGAAGTTGAAAATGGTAATGTAAATCATCAAAATCTCAAAATACCAAAAACATAAAAACAGATAAATATATTATAAAGCGCAATAAAATTAAAAGAGAAATAATTATTATTAGTCTCATGGAAAAACTGACTTTTTAAGGGAAATTGTTCTTGTTCCATAAAATTCCGAATGTTTGGGAATGATCGTTATTCATCCCCTTCGTCTCTTTGAATGAATTCTTTTAACTTGTAATTAAAATCTAACACATAATATTTGGGTTTAAATGATCAGTTTTCTAACAGACGAAGGAAATTCCCTTACACGATCAAATGGGATATACTTGTAAATAGATTTAAAAAAAAAAGATCTTAAATACCAAGAGAAGAAGCAATTAGAAATTATTCGTTAATGCATATAAACAAAAGTACCTTATCACAAAATTTAAAATTTTGTATAACCAAAGGCGTAATTATATAAGGCATATAAATATAAATGTAGGCCAAATGTAGGTAGTTAAATTAAAAACTATATTATATATATATATATAAATGTGTATGTATGTGTAAAAAGGAACTTGAATGACTGGATAGGAGAGGATAAATTAAAAATCCGAATTTGATGTTTGCTTTTATAATGAAATATATATATATATATCCACTGTTATATTTAATCGTAAGTGAAGCATTACTTATTATTGACTTTTTTGCCTCAATATAGTGTAGCTTTGGTGATTTTTATAGTAAATTGACGGTCTGCATATTATGATCCAATTTTCTCAAAGAACAGGAACCCTCAGTTATTTAGCCATCTCATCACCAGAAACGTTAGATAGAGTGCACTGCAAGAGATTAATCATAATCAAAATTAAAATGAACTGCATCTAAATAATAAACACAAGAAAGATCACCACGTAGCTGTTTTATCTGAATATTCAGAGAAACAATATCAAATATTATATTCATTTAATATTTTTTGTATTAATGCTGAATATTTATTTCAGAGATGAAATTCTTCTGAAGAAAAACTTGGTCGATCCTGCAGAACACGATGGTAAAGATCCAGATGTTATTCCTCCACAAAATGTTTATTGCGCTGAGATGGAACAGACAGGAGGAATGCCCAACATGCTGCTTCCGCCTAATGGTATTTCAAACAAACAAAATTACTTTTCAGTTTGACAAAAATTGACATATTATTAAATCAACTTATTATCAACTATTATTAACAACTTATTAAATCAACTATTAGACAAAGTCTACTAGGTGTGCTTAGATTTTTAATCAGAAATTTAGGTTTAAGAAAACATTAATCCTTAATATAAGAAATTTTCCTATTCATGCTATGATCTGCTTCGTAATTATGTAGTGCTTGCTATTCCACGTGGTTTACAGCTTTATCTAATATGTGAAAAAGGTAAAATTTCAGATTTCAATCAATGAAAGGAAAAAATTTGTTTTTATATAAAAAAATTTAGAGAAATTTAAATATTTCCTTTCTTTTCCTACCTATAGGAAGTACTATGTAGATGACATATCAAAAGAAACAAATATTTTCACTAAGATTTATTCTGATGTCTCGAAGAATTTCGTTACCGAGATTTACCTTCGGTTCAGTCATATAAATTAGTATATTTGTTAGAAAACGTTTCTTAATACTTTCATTTTTTTTAGAGTTTTGATTAAAAGTATTTTTCAGGGTATATTACTTTATTTTGCTGTATTTAGAGATAATTTAGCAGAAAGGAATAATCATCCAAATATGGCAAAAAGATATTTTTAAAATTACATACCTTTTCTTATTTACTGGTAGTTTATATTTCAGAAAATCAAAATCTTTAATAATTTTATTTTATAATTTTTGTTTTTCATGGCAAACCATTCCTTCATAAAATTTAACATTAAATACGTTTTAAACCTTATTTTTTTCCACTGATCATATTTCAACATTAGTATTTCATATTACAAACAATTTTTAAAGTTGTCTGCACCTTTTTTAATCAGCGTAGAAATAATCGATCAGTATATCATCCAAACAATTTATTATTTCTGCTCGAAAACCAAGTTATTTTGTTATTTTTTTTGTACGATATTGATGTCCTTACATTTTATTCTGGGAGTTTATGCATCAGTATTAAGAGCTTTATGAATGCTGTTTAATATAAATGATACTCTTATGAAATGACGTTTTTACTCGCATACTTCTCACGCTTTGATTTAGAAATTTCTGATTTATGGTAATATTCTAAAATGTAGGCCTAAATATAAAAGTGTTTTGTGCAAATAAAAAGGATATTATTGAAATTGATAAGTCTTCAAATACGAAATATAACAATGTTAATGTCCTTTAATGGGCTTTTTAATATGCTGTTTGTCATTTAAACCGTGTCTTCAGGAATCTAATGTAATTATTAATGCTGTATGCATCAGATGAATCTGAATCTTCTGTTGCGTAACTCAATAATAAATTTTTAAATCCTTTATTTACAGCAAAAGTATTTAAAGTAATGTAAACAAAAGGATGTCTTTGTTTCTACTTAACATGGCTTTGCCTGAGATGAAATAACAGATTTCAAGAATAATGCATGAATTCGCTCAGTTTTGAAGAAATAGTTGAGATACAATTTTAAATGATTTAAACTAATTGTAAAGAATAATTTTTAGAACTCTTAAACACTTTTACATTCGCTTAAACATTTCATACTTCATTATCTAAATTTATAATTAAGCGACTTTTAAGTTAATTAATCTAACTCAGAATTCCATACGAATTCGCAATAACCAAACAATGTTCTTCTTACGTGAAGCATTATAAATCATAAGATATTGGGTATAATATATATAACATATATATAATATATATATATATGTGTGTATTATATAATATATATGTAATATTAAAGCACAAAGGAAAATGACGGAACACTGTAGATGCGTGATTAGATCCATATTGAAGAATTTTGATTGCGTAGTATTTAAAGAACTTGGCAGTCGAGGCAGTTTTAATTCCATTTTTATTTCCAATTGATATTTGTGGCCACAATCGCTTGGCACTTTAGTCGTGCCTTTCCACAGAGGATTTACATTTTTGATATTGCTGAGATAGAAAGCAAGCCAGCGAAATTACATCTTAGCACAGCACAGAGCAAAAGCTGAAGTGCGTAGTTATGAAAGATGGAAGCACGCGAAGAGAAAAGTTTTGGTTTACAACGACAGTTTCAGTTCTTAATTATTACGTCATCGGAGTTGCGCGGGCCATAGAATGATCTAGAAATGACGCAATGCAGAGAAGTTATTACGATTTTAGAGAGGAAGAATTAATGTTTATAGTTATATTATAATTCTGATTCATATATTTTTATCTTACATACATATATATTTTAAGGTCATCTTTTTTTCGAATATTCATGACTCATTTTATTAAAGCCCACCAGCGGCCGAGCGGTAAAGTCGCTGAACACTGGTAGTTCGGTCCGAGGTTCGAATCCCGCGAACGGGCTGGCTGCATGGGTGTTTTCGTGGTTTTCCCCATGTGTAACGTGTATACGAGCCAGTTTCCCTTAGAAAGACCTCCACGATGGCATCCCTTCCCTTAGGCAGATAGCCCTAGTGTGCTTTGCCATAATTAAATACACACCATTTTATTAAAGTAATAAAAGATAACCAAACATGTATTCCGCTTAATATTTTGATGCCAAAATATGCTTTTTAGAAAGGAAATAAAATTATTAATTTCTATACATAAAAGATAGGTTAATATTTATCGTAAGGAAGAATTAGATTTCAGTGATTTTGCATCTTTAGGCTATGAGTAATGGTTTTTGTAGAGAATGCAGTTTAATATTTCTTCTCAAAAACGAAGTTATACAAGACCGAGGATTTATTCAGATGGTACATAATTATATTCTTCAATTGAGTAATATATAAAAAAGGCTGTCTTACGTTTCCTGAAAATAAAGCAAAGTAGAGAAAATGGAGTTACCTAGATGTGCTGAGATTAATTACAGCACACAATAACCACTGAAACTAAAAATTATCGAGAAAAAAATTGAGAAATTCTATAATTAATTATATTGCTTTCTTTTCATTAAAGTAACTATACAGTCATTTTTTAAAAAATAAATTACTTATACAAATGTTACCTATCACGTTACAAAAATGGTAATAATTGCATGTTTTAATAACTTTTTAAATTTATGTAAATGAATAAATAAATTATCGCAATTTTAAAATTATGCGGCAAAAGATTTTACACATCATCAAAAGAACTGCGATAACACAAAATTATTTACATTAAGAGGAGAATCTATCATTTGAACTGATAGATTGATTAATAGTCCTAACGCCAGATTTCAAGCGCAACACAAGTCCAGTTACCCAAACTAAGCGTGTTTATATCTCATATGGATAATCAGAGGATACAGTTTTTTTTATATTTTTTCTGGAAGCCAAATTCGTTTAATTATAATATGTGTCATTAATTTCACAATATAAAAGATGATATTTTATCGTCATCAATAAAAATTCGTATAAAATCTAACCAAATAAAAACCTAATAGAAACCGTTTGAGTGTAGTTACTTTGCGTATTGCAAGACAAAAGTTGAGCCACATGACATAACTTGACGTCATAACTGTCGCTTCATATAATTTCTAGAAAAAAAGTAATTTTCATATTTAAGCTAAAACTTAAGGAACAAACAAAAAGCAATATACATATGTATGCTACGTAATAAATTTCCATTAACGCGAGTCTTTAAAAGCGACATATGTGTCGAAAAATGTACACCATACTATATGTGTCGTACATATTGACATAAACAACTTTATTAAAATATGCCCTGATCTGCGCAACATTTCATAGTACTAATAAAGTGATAAAAAATTAGAAACATATAAATAAATTTAAAATAAATTTTATTTATTTTGCTCAAAAAGAAGAACCAAGGATCAATTTTAAGAATCCTCCATTTACATATTTCCTTTAACATTCTGATATACTCGTGAGGTAAATACTCTTCAATGTACGCTAAATATTCTTAATTAAAGTCATGTGGCAAACTTTTAGTATCGGTTAGATATGAGTTGATTTAAAATTAATGTGGCTGTAATAATTAATACATCAGCGATCCAGCGGTTAAAATCGCAGAACACTGGGAGTTCGTTACGGGGTACAAAACCTGGTGAATGGGCTGGCTGCATGAGCATTTACATGTTTTCCCCCATGTGTAAGCGTATACGAGTCAATGTCTCTTAGAAAGTTCTCCACGAAGGCATCCCTTCTCTCAGGCAAATAGCCCTCGAGTCCTTTGCCGTAATTAAGCAAACCAAACCACACCATGCTGTAATAGACGATCTTGTCCTTAAGTTAAACTGTGGACTATATGGTTAGGTTTTTTTCAAGTGCTTTTGAAAAGATAGATTTTTCAGAACAACAACTGTAAAATATTAAATGCGCGGTTTCCAAGAATCAAGCCTTGGATATTCCAGTTGCTTAGCTAAATATATTATTCACGCAACAGAAATGCGCTTTAGGTTGTTTAATGATTATTTGCAAATTCTATATGAATAAAGCTCATTCTTATAATATTTTAGTTGAAAAAGAAATAAACATATTCCATTCCTCTTTTCTCCTTTTTCAAGGTTACCTACTTAAATTGCAGAATTCTGACTTTAATAAAATAAATTTTAAATAATACAAAATTGCTAAAATCAAATGAACCTAAAAGTTTATATTCTGCGAACAACACATTAAATTAATATAATTCCCGTGGACAAATAAAATATAAGTGCATACCACTTACGGTATCGCGGAGGAGTTTTCTTATAGGTTTCGATAAAAAAAAGGCCACAAGAGATGCATTTTTCTTTTACAGCTCACCTCATTGCTTTCAGGTGCTCTTCCAAGCATGAAAGCAAGATCATGTAAACAAGATATAGAGGCTGCTAAGAGACCACCGGGAAAAATAAATTACACAGAAAGAATGGAAGAGCCATACTGATTAGATTAACTTTACTTAGAAGTAAGCGAGAAACGCGAGTCTTAATGCTGCCAAAGTAGCAGTTTGGTGTTAGTGCATTTTTGTCTAGCTCACGCATCTTTATGCGAAATCTTTTTAGTTATATGTGACAGATAGCAATGTGGTATTGCATTGTGGTGCATTCTTTTCTTTTACCTTCCTCCATATTTGTGTACGCGTGTATGTTTTTTAATATAAAAGTGTTGTTTTTTTCAACAAAATGCATATCTAGTCACATTTAGTAATAAAATATATTTAAAATCAACCATTCTCTGTTCGTATAGATTACATGACAGGACCAGAAGAACGTCCAAACTATCGGATGGAAGCTGTCCAAGAAATGGGCTTTGATCCAACGCCATGTAAAAGTGAGCTTTATGAAGCTGGTTATACTGGCAGTTTGCAAAGAAATCCAAAGGTGAAACATTCACAAACACATTTTGTTAACAGATTTGTACAACTTTTCATGTACAATATTACTTTCTCTTCTTTCGTTCTCGTTTATAAAAACGTTACAATTAGATACAAAATACACCCTGAAAATTATTTACTCTCAGTCTCACAATATGCAATAAATTATTTTGTGTACAAATTTATACAAATTAAAATATAAGGAGAAAACATAAATTAGAAAAAAGATAGGGTTTTAAATCAGAATTGCTAAATTTAAGCTAATTTTTTGGCGTTATTACGCATACCGTCCTCATATGTGTCTACCAAATTTACCAGTAAATTCTAATTATACTTTTTCATATCTGAATAAGGGGATATCAAGGTAGTGGTTATCTGCAATGATTTGCCGTCACAGAGCGATATAATATACGTTTTACTCAAGCAAATGTGCATTGTAACTCATGTTATTAATCCTTTTCTATTGTTTTCAGAATTCTAGAGTTTTTTCTATTACACTAAAGCTGCTAAAATTTTTAAACATGACTGTGTGTTGCAAAATATTTACTTAAATTCACAAATCATGATAGCTATATGAAATTCGCTCAATTTAAGTTTCACAAACCACTTGACAGAATTATAACCTAAATAAATTATTATTTGCGTTTGATATTTCATATTACAAATAAAAAAAGTTTTCAATGTTTATGTAGTTTTCTTTGTTTTACTTCAATTCTGTTAATTAACCTATAATTTATTTCAAGTTACGCCAAATAAATTATATTATCACAACTTTTATCGTGACTAACTAAATATATAACGGTTGACTAGCTCAAACCCATTTATGTACCGCTTCTATGAAAGTCATAATTGTATTTGACTATACTTATGTACTCTTACACTGTGTACTCAGTGTAACACTTATATATTATATGTAGTGTAATACTTCTATGCTATGTATAGGTATACATGACGAATGCTTTGCAGGATTTGTTCTTCAGAAAGAATTGTCACAGACAATCGGACATTCGTCTCATTTTGAAACTAGTCTACGAAAGCCGTCCACGTAAAATTTTGGAAGTTGGCTTTCGGAACTTTGACGGATGGCAGTCTTCATATCAGCATCTGAATGAAACCTCTAACTTCTGTTCTTTACTCAATATCCTGGCTGGAACTTTGTGTGAATACAGATCTTAGCCCATCCTTCTCTAAGCATCCTTTCGTAACCCACGACTGTTGCTATTGAGGTGCATGTGTCTCTATACATTTCTTCATCTGATGAAATACTTCAGTTGGCTAACATGATTTAGCACTGACGAAATGTGTGATCTTATTGGGAATGATGATCTTGATTAGATGCGATGAGTATGAGGAAATACATCTACCAGCGGTTTACGCTTGCAGACAGAATAATCATCCCGACATGATTTACATTGTACAAGAATATATAGAATGATGTACCACTACAACACATTACTTTTGCCACTCTAATAGTTATTCTCAAAGAACAAAAATTTCTGTTGATCACCCCGTACAAATAGAATGATGATTGAATGTATTTTTAATAAAATACATCGTTAAATACCTTGCGAATAAATTAAAAATCTTAAAAGATAAAACTAGCTTCTATTGAAAATAATATAAATTTACTTCTGTAATTCTCAAGCTTAAAGGTTAAACTGTAGAGTCATTAGGTTAATTGGAAGCAGAAATGATGAAAAATATGCAATGGCCTTCGCCGGGAATCGAACCACGGACCTCTGGGAATACCGGCCCAGCGTGCTACCGTTACAAAAGGAAGGCACGCTAGGAAAGTAGGAGAAATACCTTATAAAAGGAGCAATATGACTTTGTATTAGTTCACAGAGAATTTAGGATTTATTCATTTGCGTTGTTAAAAGACTAGTAGAAATTTTTTGTCCAAAAGACATGCCGATAATAACAAATTAGAGACGAGACATTTGAACTCTCGAAAGACCTGAATTTCGTATTAATATTCGAAACTCTGAATTTGGACTTTTGTATTATTTTTTTCTTTTCAATTGCATATTTTTACTACGTAGGTAAGTTGAAAAATAAGTTTCCCCTGTCGACTGTGGTCAGAGTTGTGTATGAAAGTCAAAAAATAGAATGAGACATTAAAGATATGACATACCTTTATTTTTCCACATAGGTACCAAGTACATTGAGGCATTTGTCATATCGCTTGATAAGCTTCAAAAAGCTCTCCAGGAAAAAATCAGGGCTTTGCATATGAAAGAAGCGTTGAACGGCTTGTTTCACTTCAGTATTGCCTCCAAAGCGCCTCCCCGAGATTTTTCTTCAAAGCCGGAAACGGATGGAAGTCGCTTGGTGCGAGATCAGGACTGTATGGCGAATGGTGTAGGCGCTCCCAACCAAGAGTTGCAATATGGTTTTGCGTTGCCGTCGCCGAATGTAGTCTGGCATTGTCATCCAACAGCAGAACGCCAGATGTGAGAAGGCCAGGCCGCTTTTTCCGAATCGCCTCTTTCAATTTCGACAGGGTGTCACAGTAGCGCGTAGCATTGATGGTTCCAACCTCCAAAAAGTCCAGCAACAAAACTCCTTGGGGGTTCCAGAAAACTGTGAGGAGCACTTTACCTGTAGAGGGAGTTGTCTTGAACTTCTTTCGGACAGAATAATAAGCAGAACAGAATAAAGAAGCAATACTGAAGTGAAACAAGCCGTTCAACGCTTCTTCCATATGCAAAGCCCTGATTTTTTCCTGGAGGACTTTTTGAAGCTTATCAAGCGATATGACAAATGTCTCAACGTACTCGTACGAGAATAATAAGCTAAAGGTATGTCATATCTTTAATGTCTCATTCTATTTTTTGACTTTCATACACAACTCTGACCACAGCCGACAAGGGAAACTTATTTTTCAACTTAATTGTAATTGTAATTGAAAGCATAACATATAAAGATATCACTGGAAATCTTAAAATGATTTAGTTTTTCTGACATCAGAAAGTTCATTAAAATAAACTCATGTTCATAAATTAAGGATAATGCAAAATCAGGCAAAGGCAGAGTTAGAAGAAAACAAATTTGACCTATTTGTAAAGCTTATTTATTAAACAAAAGGTAAAGAGCAAAAAAAGATGCTATATGCTTGATATTATTAAAAAAAATAACGATTTTTTCTTCCTGGAGCAAATTACAAAAAAAAAAAAAAAAAAAAAAAAAAACTATTTATAAAAAAACCAATATTACATGGTTGGTATGATTGTTAATACCTTGTATGTCTCCCAGACGATGCAATACAGTCCGTACAACGCCTAGGCATGCTGAGTATCAAATTATCGATCTGATCTTGTGGGATATTACACCACTCAAAAAGCAATGCTCTCCGAAGTTCCGGTAGACATGTAGGAGGAGGTTGACGGGCTGCAACTCGTCGGCCAAGAATCTCCCACACGAGTTCTACTGGGTTTAAGTCCGGTGAGAATGCTGGCCAGTTCATATGGGTGATATCCTTCGATTGAAGGCATTCGCTTACGATGTTTGCACGGTGAGGACGGGCGTTGTCATCCATAAACACAAATTGTGCGCCCATGGCGCCCCGAAACAAACGTACATGTTGTTCCAGAATGACGTCCCGATAGATTTAGCTTGTCATGGTTCCAATTTGAACATGCAGGTCAGTTCTGGAACCCAGAATAATTCCACCCCAAAGGAGCACTCCTGCACCACCGTAACGGTGTCGTTCAATGATGTTTTCTTGTTGGTAACGGGTACCTAGAGCTCTCCATATGAAAGTCCGGCGAGAATCAGACTGCAGGCTAAAGCTGGACTCGTCGGAAAACATCACAGAAGCCCACTGTTGCGGTGTCCACAATACATGCTCTCTACTCCAGGCTAACCGCAGGCGACAGTGAGTTACAGTAAGTAGAACGCGTCTGACAGGTCTATGTAGTTACAGTTACAGTAAGTAGAACGCGTCTGCCCGGAACACACTGCTAGATTCCTAGTCTGTGGCAGCTATATTTCATGTCAATATTCCGGGCATCACATAGCCGCACTACGCTGGAGAGAATCACGACCACATCGATGACCGGGAAGACATACTCCTTGTAAAGTCACCATAAGGAGGACACACAATCTTCACATATTTCTTGGCTTCTAACACAGGATTATATAGAGCTGAATATTTCATCTGTTACTCCTGCGCAGCTCAAAAGGGAAGGCAAATTTCCCAACTATTTTAATACGATAAAATGAATAAACTTCAATGAATAGTCAGAAAAATGTGAGTTGTTCTTTTTCAGAGAATGATAATTTTGGGGTTGCTTTAAAAAAGTTTTACTTGAAAGGATCTGAAATGCAACTGTTCTTCTCACTTCGTTTAGATAGGTAATGATTGAATAATCCTTGGAGGCCTTTTTAAGTAGGTTATTATCTTTTCTTCCATTTCATTCCTAAAATGAAATTCACTTTTCATACAAGAGTTTTAAAGTATCTCGAATATATTTAGATACTTGATTCACCAAAATAACTTTTAGCATTTTGTTTGAAGTTCTTCGGTAGTCCTAAACTGAGTTTATTTATGTTTTAAAAATTTATGTTTTAGTCAGGCATGTCTTTGAAGCCATTTATTACCTTGAAACTTCACAATTAACTGAAATGGGTAAAATCTGCCTGACACAAACACCAAACCAAATTACTACCAACTTTGTGCATACCAAGTATTTTTTGGTATGCACAAAGATATACTTTATAACAGTTTTCTATTTTTTATATATAGTGATACCTCATTATAGATCCGCTTTGAAATACATCCAACTTGATATATTGGATGATATAAAATGTCTCCGAGGTTTTTTGCCACTAAATGGTGTTGATGCCTATATATCCGGCAACACTCACACGATTGTCTCCAACGAGCGTATGCTTAAAAGGTGACACTCAGCTTCCAATGTTTGTGAAGATAATTCTAATTCGTTGCTTTTGTAAAAGGTTATATTGATTTCAAAATGAGTGAAGTATCTGAAGAAATACATTATG